AAAAAAATCTTAGAATACGAAAACATTGGTGAATGAAACAAATTCTCCTAAATCACTCGTACGCACAACTTAAGAACAAATCTGTGCGAACGAACGGTTCTTGCATGAGGCCCAATGTGGACAACCCTGACCATCCTCTTCATCAGACTGCCATAGAAAAACAGTGTCTTCAGTCGGAGGCTTCTTCAATTTTGTTGTAATACAGACCGCTACAGAAGATCTTTCCTGCCAACAGCCATCAGTATCTACAATAACTCTTTAGTTAAATGAGTTACAACAACACCTAATTTCCCCCTGGGATCAATAAAGTGTTTTTGAATTGAACTGAATTGAGAAGCTTAAGATTACACACATTATCCAGAGACAACACATCGTTTCTGTTAAAAATTGGAATGAAAAGCTATGTAAAAGCATTAAAAAATAGTAATTAAATGTAAAATCTAATACTATGTGTTAAATGCTCTAATCTTCAGTTTATACTCTTGTTTTTGTTTTTGTTTTTTCTCCTGTTCAGCTTTGAGGCGTCTACGTGGCTGTGAGGTCCAGAGCAGCGAGCTCGACGAGATCCTGCAGGAACAGGCCGAAACCAGAGGCATGAGACCGAGACGACCCTGGGAGCTTTTTACAGATCGCTCTGTGCGCTGGCAGCTCATCTCTGTCATCGTCATCAGCAGCGCCATGCAGCTCTGTGGGAACGACTCGGTAAGAACCGTCAGGATCCTCGACTGAAAACCACTTTGTAAATGTGGTAGATAGAGTTTGGTTTTGAAATGTCTTAGTCATGTGACCCGGGTAGGTCAGTTCATCTGAGCCTAAAGTACAGAAGCAGGATTGGATMATTTTTTATATTCGAATGACACATTTTCCAAGCTACTTCACATCTTGGCAGCAGAAAATGCTTATTTAAATATTTCTGGGTTTAGAGGATTTTAGTCATCTGAAGGAGAGTTTTGCATTGACACAATTACAGATTGTACAAATACTTGCATAATCAGCTTAGTGGCATTTGAACCTCAGTAACCACTCTGTTCTTTTTGCAGATTTACTTCTATGCATCATATGTGTTTAAAGAGGCAGGAATATCTGCTGATCAAATCCAGTATATCACCATTGGCACTGGGACCTGTGAATTCACAGCCTGTATTCTGTGTGTAAGTCTTCACATTTATGTTCTGCAACCTGTTAGAGAGAGAAGCAAAWAGGAGGCAAAGGGATGGAAATGCATCATAGATACAGTGGTTTGCAAAAGTATTCATACCCCTTGAACTTTTCCATATTTTGTCACATTACAACCACAAACATAAATATATTTCACTGGAAT